CTTATTAACGAAATTATTACTACTAACTATGAACTATCTATTTTATCATATATATACAAGAGAAGCGGCCTTTAATAAAATATACCATCTAAAAACATTTATAAGTGTATCAATCATTACAGAGTATAAAATAAAGAAGCTGTCGCTGTCTGTCCCTATTTAGGCCTAAATCTTTAAAATTACGCAACTGATTTTCAAGCCGTTTAAAATTATGTACTATTTATTTCTATTTGATCTTACACGATTTGTAATTATCGTATACGTTTACGTTTTTGTGTAGTAAAAGATTTTCTCATTGCAAATTTTCTATATTGCCCATTGAATATTTTGCTATACCTAATTATGAATCACGCCCTATAGCTAGTTTCAATAGCCATCATTAATCTTTTGCCCATATATAGGAGTTCTTTCTGAAATCCGCACATTGCACAAGTCGTGTGCAATGATTTTGCATGCCTCGACATAATGCATTCCGCTTAGTACTTGTGAATTGACAAAAGAAACATTTTCACAATAAAACGAGGTTAGTGTGTTACAATTCTATTATAATAAAGTTATATACAGATTAAAAAATAATCATATTACATTATATATCTTCTAGAGTTTACGAGAATACGACTCAACTGAAGTTTATAATTAAGAGTTTAAATCGTAGATCAGAAATAAATTATGCTTCGGTTTATTTCAAATATTGAAAGTTTTACAATTTAGCTGTTTTTTTGTAGCCACAAATTCTACAATACAGTTTTTTATAATTCTTATTGTAATAAATTACCCTCCTTTTATTCCTACTCAAATTTGATCACAATTGAAGGTGGTAGGTAAGTAAAGTAGTTTTTGCAGATATATATTAAATATGCAATAAATATATTAACAGTTAATTAATATGTAATTAATATTTTCACTAATAAAACACTTATTACGTAATATGCTAATAGCTATATAAGGTTTATATTATCTATTACAAATTACTACTGTCACATTTCGAAACTAGATTAGTCCGCAAGTGACAAGTTGTCAAACAAAGCGTCCAAGATACTTTCACTTGGAGCTATTCGAAACACACATTTAAGTATAAAAAGTAAAAGTGTATTATGAAACAAACTGACTATTTGTCTCGGATCATTAGAAAGAGAACAAATTACGTGCTAAACTTAGACCAACGTCATAACAGTTTCGTGCTTCACCTGTTAATGGGCTGACGAACTTTTTCGTCGTATTTACTTAAAAAGTGTTTCTAAATAAAAACACGATTTTGCATAATGCATATAAAAAGGAGAGCAAAAAATTGTATTTATTCAATTTACAACAACTATCGATTATGAGACGAACTTATCTATGTCAACTACTTGTAATATGGGACATTTACACTACTTACTTAAGTCGCTAGAACGCAAATAAGCATTTTCAGGTGCGCTTATGAATGAAATTATCATTATAATCCAAAACATACGTTTACGCATATTTTCGAAGTTTTTAACCATTGCTGGGTTCTATGAATGTTTTAATAGCACATTATTGTTGATCATACATATGTTCTATTTCTTTGCTCTACTAATGCCAATGGGCGTTCACCCGCCGTACCTAATGATTTGCAGTAAATGAATGTTATGCGTAATGAACACAAAAAAATAAAGAAAACTTGACCTTCGTGGTGGGTGAGCAATCATTATCATTATTCTTAGTCCATTTAACGATGTGATTACAGTGAGCGCAGGAAAAGGAAGTGAACTCTAATATCAGGTTCTATTCAAGGTGTCATATTGCATAGGTATCATGATGATCTAGATCCTGTTACTTTGAATAATTTATTTTTAACATAACGCGAAAGGATCTGTAATTAGAGTTTTATTAGGCTAGATTTATTGCATTTTTTTTAGTTTTAAATAAAAATGTAAATAGAACTCTTATGGTGCTTTATAATTGATCCGTACATTTCACTTTCATAAAAGATCAATTAGCATTATCATTATCATTCGAACTGCATGGATATGTCGTAAAGAAAATAACCAATTCGAAAATAAAGTTAAATACATAACATTATTTAAGAATATAGCTGTACCTATTACTATGTAATATTATGTAATCTGTGCTATTACTAACCAATAAGAAATGTTTTGTGTAAAAAATATTTCTTAGTATTATTTACAAAAATAAATGTCGGCGAAATAAAAAGAATCTGATAGATCGACTTTCATTAAAAAAATATAATAAATATAAAACAAAAGTAACAATGACTCTCTAGTATTGATATTTTCACGTTCGTAATTTCTATTTCGTTTCTCGAATTTATTTCCTACGTAGTAGTTTTATACAAAATTATTTTTGCTGGTCTATAAATATATATTTTTTATAAAATATCTTTATAATCTAGAATAAATTATAATAATAAAAACTCTCCGATTTCAGAGAGTTATTATATATAATTAATTATAGAATTTGTTGTTTCACTAATTCACATATGAATATGAAATTGCATAATTTATATTTAACATTATATACTTATAACGTCTCAAGTTCCTTTCATTCTGTATATCGAAAGAGGCAATTACGAAAACAAAGCAGTTAAATAATTTTTCGTTTGGCGTAAGAGAAGGAAAAATCGAAATAGAACCACACAGGTGACTCGCTTTGTAACAGTAGGCAGCTCTTATAATGAGAAATCTATACTCATTAATGCAATATTATTATGTTAATGAGAATAATATATTGATTGTAGGTACATAAACACTCATTCCTTTTAAAATTGCAAATGACTAATTATTCATTCATATTCAATGAAAAGGAAAATATTGCAATAGACGTAAAACTTTTCTGCAATATAGTCACGTAGCTATTATACCCATGAAGTGGATATTACTATTCATAATAGCGGGTATGTTTACGAAAGAAATTGTTTATGTAAGAAAACCTTCGCATTAACGAGGGACCAACATGCGTGCGTGAAACATGCGTTATGAGACCAAGTACTGTCTGTTTCATGAACTAGAAAATGTACCAATTCTAATGTATTACTCATGGCTTCAAATGTTTGAACACATGTTGGTGTAATTAAAAGTGCCCTAAACAGGAATTGCAAACATAATAATATGCACATATTTAGTACTTCACGCAAGGTGAGTTTGCTGCATACGAATTTAATCTTTGCCGCGCTGCATTTGTTCAATGTGCGCTCAAGATCAACAAACAATTACTTAAGGCAAATAATTCTAATTTTGAACTACTACTCTAAGATGAAATAACGGTGTAGTTATCTTTGTGACTGAAATGTAATCAGACTAAACCTTAGACTAACGTTTTAGTTTAGTTCTTATTTAGTTGTACATAATGTGATTAAAGTTTTACGATTTTATCTCAGAGCTAAATGATTATACTAAGGATCAGGATCTTAACTAAAATTTCAAATGAATTGTAAATTTAAATCTTCATACTAAATGATAATAATCAATGATGTTATCATGCAAACTTTTAATGTGCTATTGGAAAAAAACATTTACTTTCGCTTTTTATATTGTTACAATCAACCATGGATTAGCATAGTTTCTTTCCATAAAATATCCGGTGAGGACAACACCCAACAAATCTGTCCTTATTTTAAATTTTTTACTATAACTATAGTTATATTGATAGGTAAAATATACTTACCTACATAAACATATTACCTCCATAGTAGATATAATAAATACATGTTTCTAAATTGTTTAACCTAAAACAAAAATCTGATAACTCCCTACATAGCCATAACCTTGTGGTTTACATGAAACAGGTATATAGGCAGCTAGAATATTTTTTTGTAACAAGCAATTAGTGTCACAGTTTCATATGAAATATGTACTAAGCCATATTTCTGTTGTTTTATCGCAGAACTATCGAATGTTTCGACAACATTATTAGCTAACACGGGCTCGCCCCTTGTGTAGTTCATGCTTCCGTGACCGCCTCAATCGGTTACCTTAAATTGAGCTATAAAGTTCTCGGCCGTTGCAAAAGACAACGAAAATTCAATGCCACGAAATGGGAAAGTCCAATCTGGTAGTGCACTTTACTTAATTTACACAATATTAAAATATTTCACGAAATAACAAAGTTACACCATCAGTTTCTCTTAGCACTTTTTCTCCACTTCCCCTTTGTCGTTTGGTAACGAAGCAGTTTTTTTTCTCAACCGCTGAAACTGAGGTTTGTTTCAGTTTCTCAAACTTTCAAAACTGATCATTAGTGAAAGTTTTGTCATTTATTTTATCGCGAATCACGTTGTTTTTACTGACTACGTGACTTTTTAGAACAGAAATAAATTAGGCTAGTGGTAGCCAGCAAAATAATTAAAAAGAATGTTTAAAAACAAATCCCTGTATAACAATTTTTTACGTTTCATCATTTTCGTTTTCAGCTTTGCAGTGTAAATAGAAATAATTGCGATTCTCACAGATACATCACAATACTTTCTAAGGTTTATGAAACGTTTTGTATATACCAATCATGGGCCCATTCGTAAATTTATGACGGCCTCAAAGGCGGGCGTACGTAACGACCCTTCAATTTCCTTTTAGCCTGAATCTATTCAGGAAGCGAAAGCATTTCCCTTCGGCTCCCAACTTCCAATCAGGGACTCCAAAAATATAATATTAAGGCAGGTACTTTTAATCGAAGACGAGGTGAATATTAAAAATGGTCTTTCACAGTTGACTGCGAGCACAAATTTTATGAAAAAGTCAATACATCTCCATTCATATGGAAAAAGTTCGCTTTAAAGCTGTGTGATTTGGAATTATAATTAAGGCCATTTCGCATAAGCCCCCAATAAAAATGTATTGAATTGAACAAAATATTTCCAAGTACTATAATGTATAGTATGTGTATGTATAAGAAATAGTATTTAAAAAGCCAAAGTGACTATTCACATGCTGTCCCGATTTATGTAGACATAAAAAATAAACTTCAAATATAATTTAAAGGCTATATTGAAGAATAAGGTACAAAATTTTTATGGTATTTTATTATTAAGTGGCGCGGGCGCTCGCCGTGACTTCTGAATGGGAAGAGGCAGACCGGTCGCCGCGCGGATCAGCGGTGCCGGCAGATGCCGCACCCCTCTCCCCCTTCTCAGTGTTCTGAACATCCTCCGCCCCCAGCAGCGTCGTGGGGAGGAGGCAGACCTTGTTTAGGGCTCTCCTCTCGATCCCGCTGATGGTCTTGAAATCCGCTACTCTGCAAAGCCCGTCACTGCCTGGAAACAGCTGAACGGCTCTGCCAAGTTTCCATTTCAGTGGTGGAGTGGTGGCATCTTTGAATACCACTAGGTCCCCGACCTGGATGTCTCGCTGCCGACGCTTCCACTTGGTACGCTGCTGAAGTTCGCATAAATATTCATTACGCCATCTAGACCAAAAATGTTGTCTTAGTACTTCAATTAGTTGATAGCGGTTAGGATGTAGTGGCGGAGGCGACGTTGGCAAGGCACTGATAGGTCTTCCAATCAAGAAGTGCCCCGGAGTTAAAGGTGAGAGATCATTGGGGTCAGATGAGAGGGGAGTAAGTGGTCTAGAATTTAGGATAGCCTCTATTTGTGTGAACAGTGTGTCTAGTTCCTCATAAGTTAAACTTGTATTACATATTCGTTTCAAGTGGTACTTAACTAACTTTACAAAAGATTCCCATAAACCACCCATGGTGGGTGAATAGGGGGGATAAAAGAAAATTTAATGCCTTCATTGGCAAAAAAACTGTCAAAGACGGAAATATTTGATTTTAACATCCTTCCCAACTCATTATTAGCCCCAACAAAATTACGACCATTATCACAGTGAATCGTATGAGGTTTACCCCTACGTGATATAAACCTGCGTAGGCATAATATAAAGGCATTTGTACTTAAGTCACTAACTATCTCTAAATGTACAGCTTTAGTAGCAAAACAGACAAATAAACACAAATAACATTTTGAAATTTTGCTACCACGACCCTTTCTTGTAGATATTTGAAAAGGACCAGCAAAGTCTGCACCACAGATTTGAAATGCATATCCAGGGTGCAGCCTGTCAGCTGGTAGATTACCCATCAGCTGCTCCATAGTGTTACCGCGTAAGCGAGTGCAAACGATACACTCGCGAGTTATTCTTCGTGCCAAATTACGACCATTAATTGGCCAATACTGATCACGGACGGAGCTAAGGAGCAGCTGGGGTCCAGCATGCATCAGTCGCAAGTGTTCGCCTTCCATGATTAATTTTGTAAAATAATGTTTACTATGTAACAGCGCTGGATGCTTTTTATTAAAGGAATGTTCTGAGTTCTGAAGGCGACCACCCACTCTGAGCAGTCCGTCTTTGTCAATGAATGGAGTTAACTGTAATAAAGGTGAATTTGAATTTAAATATTTTTGATTTTTAAGTAATCGTATCTCATTTAAAAATAATTCATGTTGCACAAGTTTAGTTAAAGTTAATTCAGCTAAATATAATTCATCTGTAGTTAAGCTTCCTTCACGTTTCTTATTATTACGACAATTATATATAAACCTATGTATGTATGCCATGGTTCCTTTTAACTTTATTAATTTTGAAAATCTATTGTAATCTAAGAGAGGTGTATTAATAATGTTTATGTGTACTTTGAGTTCAGGTAAATCTGTTATACATGAATTTATATGTTGTTGCAGTGGCCACTGAGACTCATTTTCATTTAGAAAGGGTGGTCCCTCAAACCACAATTTTGATTTCCGCAGTTGATCCGGCGCTACACCTCTAGAGGCCAGATCAGCTGGGTTTAAAGAAGTAGGTATATGATACCATGATTGTCTGGTTGTGAGTTCATGAATTTCAATCAGCCTGTTACATACAAATGAATTTAAATCCTTTGGTTGCCTTTTGATCCAAGCCAATACAATGGTGGAATCAGACCAAAAAAACTTGCGTTGTATAGGACAACGTAAAGCTTGACACACCTTGGCAACCAAGCGTGCGCCTAATAGTGCTCCACACAGCTCGAGGCGGGGTATAGTGGTAGGTTTTAACGGTGCGACCCGAGTCTTGGCGCACACAAGGGTTACCGATGGTTTGCTCTTATCATTAAAGCTCCGTAAGTATACACAAGCTCCATAAGCTTCTTGTGAAGCGTCCACAAAACAATGGATCTCAGTTACCACATATGAACAACATAATATATGTCTAGGTATTGTTATGCAAGTAAGTATGTGTAATTTATTAACGATATTTTGCCAACTGTCTCTTATATCATCAGGTACGCGATCGTCCCATCCCAATTTTAGCAGCCATAACTTTTGTAAAATAATTTTAAATTTAATTGTACAAGGGCTAAGTATACCTAATGGATCAAATAATTTACATGTGTTAGATAAAATTATTCTTTTAGTTATTTTATTTAAATTGTTATCAATTTTTACAGTAAATTGTAGCATGTCAGTACTAGGAGACCACTGTAAACCTAGTACACTTGACATCTTACTAGAATCTAATAAGTGTGAGTTTATTATATTAGAACTGGGACATACGTTTTGACAGTTTTTACGAATTTTATGTAATGGAAAACACGCAGAAGCTAGTGATTGTGTAACAGATTGTTGAATATAAATTAAGTCCGGTATAGTGTCAGCTCCAGTTAGCAAGTCATCATAATAAAAATCATGTTTTAATATGTCTGAAATTCTCTTATCCTTACACTCATGTGCCAATTGTAAAAGACAGCGCTGACTAAGATAAGGAGCTGACGCCGTTCCGTACGTGACAGTGTTAAGTTGTAAAATCTCAAGTGGTAGGTCAGGTGTATCTCGCCACAAAATTAACTGTAGATGGCGCTGTGATGAGTCTAACTGTATCTGCCTATACATTTTTTGTATATCAGCAGTTAAGACGTAACGATGCTGCCTAAAACGAACAATAATATTAAATAATGGATCCTGTAATGTAGGACCTATATATTGTATATCATTTAAAGATTTACTAAGTGATGACTTTGCTGAAGCGTCAAAGACAACTCTAAGTTTGGTTGTTTCGCTTCCGTCTCGTAGGACAGCATGGTGTGGTAAATAAATACCGAAATTAGGTTTATTAATTCTAGTTAAATGTCCCAAAAGCTCATATTCTTTAATGAATTTACTATAATCTTTTTTAATTTCAGGGTTTTTTATTAATTTTCTTTCCAGGTTAATAAATCTACTGCGGGCTATATGGTAAGTTTCCCCTAATGTTTCAGGTGATTCACGTAATGGCATACAGACTGAAAACCTACCGTCAGACAACCTATGAGTAGTCTCAGTAAAGTATTTTTCACAGTAGTCATAGTCAGGAGACAGATTTATTTTACGAGTATTAATTTCAGGTATTTCTTCAAGCTCCCAAAATTTAATTAATGAGTTATGAATTTGTTTACTAAAATTACAGTAGGTTTTTGTGTTATTGTCTGTAATGAAACCCAAAGGTCCTACCACTAACCATCCTAACTTGGAGCTTTGTAAAATAGGTTTATTATCTCCAAGTGATATTCTTTCTGTGTTTATAATTTCAAAAAATACATCCGCACCTAGAAGTACGTCTATTTCTGAGGATTCAAAAAATGTGGGATCTGCAAGTTGAATATTTAACGGTAATGATAATTCAGAAATATTAATATTTGTGTTTGGTAGACAACCAGTAATTTTAGGCACAATTAAACAGTTAATATTTTTATTATAATGTGTATTCAAAGAATATAAATCAAAGTTGCATTTTTCTGAAATACTGAAATTTGAATCATTTATACCTATAATACGAATAGGATCCATATGGTGGGAAGTTAAACCTATCATATTTTTCATGTTTTTTGTAATGTATGAAGACTGACTCGCTGAATCAAGTAATGCTCGAGCCCGGTATGTACGATTATTGCTGTAATTGATTATATTTATTATAGCAGTTCCCAGAAGAACCTGTTTACTACAAGATACGGTAAGGCTGACTGGTAAGGCATGGGTTAATGTGTCTTGTTTATCTAAATGTGTATTGCTTTCAGACTTAACATGCAACAATGTATTATGAGGCCCCTTGCAAATTCTGCAGGTACCTAATGTGCATTGGGATACATTGTGACCCCTTCGAAGGCAGTTCAAACAAAGATTTAATTTGGAACATTCATTTATTCTCCCTTCAGGCTTTAATTGTTTAAATGCAGTACATTCTACTATTCTGTGATTTTTATTACAAAATGCACAGGTAGGTGCCTTATAGTAAGACTTGTCACACGAGGACGTGACAAACGTTTTTGTTATTTTAGTACGATTATTATTATTGTAAGTATATTGATGATTATCATTACGTGTCGAAATTTGAAAATTATTTTTATTGAAATATAAAGTTTCAAGCATATCTGCCCGGTTACGTAAAAATTGAGTAAACTCATCCAAGACAGGAAAGGAATTCATGTTGTTTTTATACTCTTCCCATTTCGAAAGAGTCACAGTATCCAATTTGCTAGCTATCATGAATATCAATAAAGTATCCCACTTATCCGTGGGTTGACCTAGCGTATTTAATGCACGTAAGTTTTTAGAAATATGATCAATAATAAAACGAATACCCTTATGTGAATCATGTCTTAAAGGTTCAATATTAAATAAAGACTTGATATGATTATTAATAAGGATGTTAATGTTGTTATACCTATCAGTTAATAATTGCCACGCATTTTTATAATTAGCAGAGGTAAACTCAATCGATTTAATTATATCTCTAGGTTCACCTTCCAACGATGATCTCAAGTAATGGAATTTGTTTATATCAGGCATTGAGTCATTTGAATTAATTAAAGAATCGAATGTTTCCTTATATTCTAGCCACGATAAATAATTTCCTAAAAATTTAGGAAGTTTTATTTCGGGTAAGCGAATATTACCAAAAGACCCAGGAGCGATTGATGTAGTAACATCGTGTAATCTTGCTTGAAGATTATCGCTGTTTGGTTTATGTAAGGAAGAATCGACAATGGCTTGTGCTTGGGCAAGGAGGGAGAAAAAGGAAGATTCAATGCTATCTCTTTGTTCTACCTCATTGTCCACATCTAAAGTTAATGTTTCAATTTGTGACTGAATAGACTGAAATTCATTGTAAGCTGTATCAATGTTACTCATTCTACGCGTAAACTCATCAATTTGTATTTTACTTAACATGTCAGGTTTTATTTGTTGAAAAAGAGAAATAGACTCTTTAAATTTAGTTAATCGTGCCTTAATAGCACCTCTTTTTCTAGTCAAATCTCGTAATTCTTTCTTTTCTTGTGCATCAAGCATTGTCGGTTCTGTATCTGAAGAATCACTCATATTAAATAATTACAAAAAACAAGGCTCCCTTCTCAGTGTTCTGAACACATGCGGTGATTATGAAAAATGTTAAACAAAAAAGCACCCGTTATACCTGAAAAATTCACACATTCGTATTTTGTTAGTCAAAATAAAAAACGAATATTTCGACATAAAAATTCATGCATCTATTACTCTACTAGCTTAGTATCGATCAACAAACATATCTATATGTCGATCTATAAATACAATGATGATAATAACTACAATATCAGCATGGCAGTGATAACACAGCTTACATATATACTTAGTTTCTATGATAATAGACAACTGTAAAACACAGACCAATACATATACACTCACAAATATATTTTTTTGCACTTACACACGGCTAATTTTAATACATGACTGTTAATTATAGTATATATTATATATTAGTATATACAGAACTAATCTTCTCAACTAGCTAGCACGATTTTATTTTCCTGGTAATTTCATGTAACATACTTGCTTGTTTTGTTAACTTGCAAAACTTTGCACTTGCACATTACCATTTTACTGAGATACTTCAATTAAGCTTTGTTGAAACGTTTTTACCTAATAACCCTGTATAAGCGAAGGCGAGTAGTCTGAATAATTAACATAAAACAAAGTGAAGGTACGGAACAAGGACCTTTCCACTATAAAATCCATTTGTCTAAGTTTGCTAAGGAGTTTAGTGGTTTTAGCTGCAGCAAGCTCTTTAAGTCAACCTCTAATACTGTGACCACCCACAAGTATGTGAGATACCGTAAAATGTAGCACAAGAGTACTAAATCAATGTCGCTGAAATTTGGTAGTACTTAGAATAATGTCACGACACCACTGAATAGGACAATAACCTAAAACAGTATTTGACAACATGTAAGAGAGAAATTATAACCACTAATTCGCTGAAAATTATAATTATTTTGTAGTAATTATTTTAATAGTAGCACAGATAACATAATATTACATAATAGTAGCAATAATCTCTTTATAAACAAATGACTATGGCTCATATCTGAGATGTAAGATCTTTACGCCAAAATATACATACTAAAATGCACATCTACGTCCAACATACTTGTGATACACGATTCGCAATAATACGAAAACTGTTAGTTCATAGTTAAATTTAGTTGTACTTTTAGTTTATTAAATATGGCCGGTGTGAATTTACAGCCCAAGCAATTTAGGGAATCGCAGGGGCGTCGGTAGTGCCCGAAGCGGCTGTCTAGATTGCTTGAGAACGACACTCGGCGAATACTCCATTAAAACCCCGCCTGCGCCCGACGCAACCTAACCAACTTTAAGAAAACTACCACTCTTTAGACGCTCCTCGTATCCCTCTCATTTCCCCGTTAAACAAGTAACTGTTTATTGTTAGACGAGAAATTCTCAGCGAGAAATTCCTTTTTCAACTACACTATTACCGACTAGGTACCTGTCCGGTTCGAGAAAATTACACGGTGCCTGTTGAAAGCCCGCCGAGAGATCGCTGCAAACACTGTCATTAACAAAATACGGTTTCCTCTATGAATTCATTACTTGGGCTCACGTACCCACATTGTTTATCAGGGTTGCTTAAGACAACATAAATTTGAATAAGTAGCGAAATTTACGATCATCATTAACGAAAATTGTGTAGGTATGTAAATGAATGGAGTTTTGCGTGTGCAAAGTGATAGATTAGGTTAGTCCATCTATAGATGCCTCTCTGTTAGAGAAAACAATGGATTCCTTCCTGTTCGTAGAAAGCGAGGTGTTAGCCGTCTTTCCGTCACCAGATAAATAAGTGTGTACCAACACTTCATCGCAGTTTGCATCTCTTTGTACACCAGTACGCTAATAATGTCACATTAGATGGAGAACGCTTTTATCTTGTTACGTTTCTAGAAAGTATTTCCTAATGACACGAATAGACATGTTTTTGTCTGACAACCGCAATTTATATTATCGAATAAATTCGCTACAGTCAATATATTATTTTATACCTATCTATCCTTATTGCAATTGTAAGTAGTTATTTATATAAATGATTTTTGAAAATATTGATATAGACTAACTAGTCATTATCTTATCTATGGAAGGTGTTTCTTTACCAACTTCGCCAGCAAGAAGTGATAATTATCATTCTAATGTTTCTAAATGTATTACAAAATATAATGTATACTCGTATTTGCTAGAAACAAGCGAATTTACGAAACTTATCGTGATCGCCTAACCACAGGTTTTCCATGTCAGACAATTTTATTATGCGGCCACTTAAGAGATATTTCAAATATGCTTTTATTAAACCTTACAAGACATACGTGACAAAGGTGTTCTGATATACGCAATACAAGAGACGCTAATTTTGCACTATTAAAAGCGAAACTTTCTAACCGGCACCCAACGATGTTATAACTGATAATTTCATTCATTCATTTGAAGTAAAATTTTTCATGAACCTTAGATTGCATCGAATTGTTTTTTTTAATGATAATAGATAATAATAATAATTTATTTTTGCGTCCAATATTGACATAAATTGTCAACATAACAAAAATGATCCCCGGTACCTAAACTAAATAGAAACTTATATACCTAAAGTATCAGTTCCCTTCTCTCAGTATTAACATATTTATTATTGTTTATTGCTGTTGTAACTTATTGACGAAGAAAATTTAAATCTACTTGAAAATTCTTTCTTATTACTGCTATACGGGATATAGTATTTAGTCATGGCTTAATAATAATGATGATATAATCGTCCTTAATTGAAAATTGTTATTTAATCATTCAAGTAGTGCCCCGTTCATATATATAATATATTGTAAAAAATTATTATGTTTAATAAGCTTTAATAGCTTCAAGCTCTATTAAATAATCTATTTTAAGTATCATCAATGATCCATTTATCGTGCAACTGTTTAACGTTACTAAAGCAATTATGAAGCTTTTATACGGCTATCATTTAGATTTAACTTTACGATTTTCCTTCACTCAGATTGATACAAATTAATATAAATTAAAAAAAAACAAAGTTGTGCCGCTAAACTTGAGCGTGAACGCTGGCTATAAGCCTGTCTATGACCAGTTATAACCTGTAATTTGAAGATACTGCGATAAAGTTGCAACTACGTACTACACTTCTTGTTCGCTATAAAATATTTAGTGTGAGATTTTAGTAAAGTTGGCAATGTACAGTAAACAAATGAAGCTATTGTTTACGGAGACAGTTTGGAAGTAATCTTAGCTGGTATTGAACGGGGCCGTGGTGTGTCGGTCAGCTTACCGCAAACTGGTTTCATTATCAAAAGTCAATAACTTTCCGATGCATTCCGAGTCATGGCCAACGCCAATCAACAAACGTAATACTTAATTAATAATATTGACAGATGGTAGTGAAATGTGATACAATGCGAAATTTCTATGTGAGCTTGATTTAATATTTGAATATAATAAATATTACACACTTATTATTTGTTAAACAAACTTTCACTAGGTCAATTTTGTATTGTAGATTTTTAGTAAATGCATTATGTACCTACTGGTTTAATAAGACGGTACAAAAGATGAAAAGAGAGATACCCATCTTAATCTCTACATATGTAAATCATAGTTTCATTCATCAAATATACTTTCTCTTATACCTACTATATTTACATTTTTCAACCGACTGAAAAAAAAGAAGTTTGATTCTATTTTCTCTGTATGAGTATGTATTTGATATTTTCGTCAAAACTGAATTCATTTTGGTGTTTTCGGTTTGGTTTATCTCAAATTTTTCGAAAAACATGTACCATGATTTAACCATTTTTGTCAAGGTCTCACAACCAAGACCTTTAAATCTAGATCACCGTAAAGACCTGTGGTCAGCAAAATACAAAAAAAAATATTACAAATAATAGTTTATTTTAACACCTAGATATTTTTGTTCACATACTTTTAAAGATCTTACGTAACACAATAAAAATCATTTCGCTGATTATATTGTTCTTGATAGTTATCAACGTCTATAATTGTTGCCAATTTGTAATACGAGTTGTATTGTTTTATTTTTTAGCCTGTATCTATTAAATATCTACTAGTAAATTGAATTAAGTAACAACTTTCACTTGTGATTGCGGATACGATATTATTATGTACTTATTTATCTAGTAGCTTTTGCCTACCGCCATAAATGTTTGGTGCACTTATTATAATGATCGTGTCATTATAAGTGGAATTATTAGTTTGTAATATATATTTTCCTTATTATTTTATTTTAGGTACCTCTACTCAAATTCTTGAATTTGTGCAATTTAGGTTCTACACTATATTATGATTAATAATAATAAATAGCGACTAAACTAATATACAACTATCAGTAAAATACTAAAATAATCACAAATATTATAAAGGAATTGTATAATATATCACTAACGGATATTACAAAATTCATTTTAATTTCAAATAGTTATTACGTAAGTTTGTCTCAAATGAGATTTTAAACAACACTATCAATATTTTATGCCTCAAGAAGGCAGATTATAGCTGTATGTAGTTCTAGTAGTAATATATATTATAAAAAAATATTTTTTTTAATATTGTAATAGGATGACATAAAAAATTTCTCAAGGTATTAATTTTGAATATGTTACATACGTTTTTACTATCCGTGATCCAACCCACGACTATCCGAAAATAAAACAGTATACCGCCGCCTAGTAAGCCGCTGCTCCATCTAGTGCATAATTATTTATTCCAAAATGTATTTAGCAGGATATCTGGTTAATATTTGAAACTAGAAACCCTACCGGGTTTAATTCTGTAAACAGATTCTCGCTTAGCTCAGACGGAAACTTGTTGTTACACTCCAATGAATCTCCGAGCTCGGTATGTACTTACGATCCTGTTGCAGCTAAATCTTAGATGCGCTTAGGAGACAAGGAATGAAACGGGTTTAATTTAACAAGAATTCATTTCAAATACGTCATTATTGATCATTTTATCTGAATAAGATTTTGTACAAAATT